CTAGTACCCGAGGCCCCATAGATTGCCAAGGCCTCCTCACTGACACCCATGTTCAGGGGGTCTGGATCAGTCCCATGCTGGCCTCTCTTATCTCCAAATGTTGCCAATTTCTGTGGCTCTTCATATTATGTCTTCAACATCTGAAATTTTGTAAAGACACACCAGGGTTAGGGTTAGGGTACAGTTCAGCCCACTACTGTTCTGTGAGGCAGGATGGGGTTGGAGAAAGCTCACCCAGACCTCATGAGCAACTGTAAGCACTATTCCCCTGTGGACAGGAATCCAGCAGGAAGCCTTACAAAACAAACCATGGCCTTGACAAGGAAGTAGGTGCATTCTGAAACTGTTTGCCAATAGGATTAATCCAGAAACTGTCTTAGTGTGATGGCTGATACAAGGACCTCTGGGATTTGTGCTTGGCATGGCCTTGCTATTCATCAAACCAAAAGACTGTGTCAGAAGTGTTCCTAGGAAAAACTATCAGAAATTAATTTATGTAACTTTAAATTAGTGAAAATATTTATTTTATTTTTTATTTTCAAATTTAAGTTAGAAACAAGGTTGCTTCACATGTCAATTCCAGGTCCCTCTCCCTTTCCCTCCCCTCCTCCCATGCCCTCCCACTAACCCCTCCAATATCCCCTCATTTCCCCAGGGAGCATGAGGCCCTCCATGGGGGTGTCCATAGTCTGTCATTTCATCCAGGGCAGGGCCTAGACCCTCCCCCAAGAGTCCAGGGTGAGAGTGCATCTCTCATTGTTGGACGGGTGCCCAAAGTCCATTTGTATACCCAGGATAAATACTGATCTACTACCCAAGGCTCAATAGACCACCTAGGCCTCCTCACTGGCACCCACATTCAGGGGTTCTTAATCAGTTCCATGCTGGATTCCCAGCCATCAGTCTGGGATTCAAGAGCTAAACCTTGTCAGGTCAGCTGTTTCTGGGGGTTAAACCAGCCCAGTCTTAACCCCTTTGCTCATCAGTCCTCCCTCTCTGTCACTGGATTTCTTGAGTTCAGCTCTGTGTTTAGCTGTGGGAGTCTATGGCTGCTTCCATCAGCCATTGAATGAAGGTTGTTTCCCAGACTCCCTGGCCATGGGATTGTAGGCTGGCACTCCCCAGATCTATGTCTAAAATCCATATATGAGAGAGTACATGCCATGTTTCTCTTTTTGTGACTGGGTTACCTCACTCAGGATGGTTTATTCTAGTACCATCCATTTGCCTGCAAATTTCAGGATCCCATTGTTTTTTTCTGCTGAATAGTAAGTAATCCATTGTATAAATGTACCACATTTTCTCTATCCACTCTTTGGTTGAGGGGCATCTAGGTTGCTTCCAAGTTCTGGCTATTACAAATAATGCTGCTATGAACATAGTGGAACAGACATCCTTGTTGTATGAATGGGCATTTTTTGGATATATGCCTAAGAGTGGAGTTGCTGGGTCTTGTGGTAGGTTTATTTCCATTTTTCTGAAGAATCTCCATACTGATTTCCAAAGTAGCTGTACATGTTGCCACTCCCACCAGCAGGGGAGGAGTGTTCCCCTTTCACCACAACCTCTCCAGCATAAATTGTCGTTGGTGTTTTTTATTTTAGCCATTCTGACAAGAGTAAGACGGTATCTCAGAGTTGTTTTGATTTGCATTTCCCTGATGGCTAAGGATGTTGAGCACTTTTCCAAGTGCCTCTCAGCCATTTTAGACTCCTCTATTGAAAATTCTCTATTTAGTCCTGTAGCCCATTTTTAATTGGATCCTTTGGTGTTTTTGAGACTTGCTTCTTGAGTTCTTTGTAAATTTTGGAGATCAGCCCTCTGTCAGATGTGGGGTTAGTAAATATCTTTTCCCATTCTGTGGGATGCCTTTTTGCCTTGCTGACTGTGTCCTTTGCCTTACAGAAGCTTCTCAGTTTCAGGAGGTCCCATTTATTAATTGTTGACCTCCTTTAATTTTAAATACTTACTTTATTTTTATGTATATGAGTGTTTGCCTACATGTATGCTGAGCCATCTCTCCAATACTGTTTTTTTTAATGTGTATGTATGTGTGTGTGTGTGTGTTTAAAGAGTAGATCTGTGTTGCTGGGCAGTAGTGTTGCATGCCTTTCATTCCAGCACTCAGAAGGCAGAGGCAGGCATATCTCTGTCTGTTCCAAGACAGCTTTGTCTATAAAGCTAGAGAAGCCCTGTCTTGGAAAACAAAAAGACTAGATCTGTGTAATGTTATTCAGTCTACAAAAGAAAATGTGTTGCAAAAAAAATCCTGATGTTGAATTTATTACACTTTTGCCTCCAACCTCTCCTGGCAGATTAACCTGATCTTCTTGCTCACAGTCAATGAATGCATTATAAGCATGTCTGCCGGGGACCTCTTCATGACTGACAGGAATTGCTTTGTGTGAGTAGCCCCTGCCCTGGGAGCAGGCATCAGGGGCTAGTGATCAAGCTGATTATGTTCATAGTTGGGCCTAGCATGCTATCTCATGAACCATCAGTCATTCCCCCCCCTTTCTTACTTATTTTAAAGTCTAATTTGTTAGATATTAAGATTGCTACCCCTGCTTGTTTCTTGGGTTCATTTGATTGGAAAAACTTTTCCCAACCTTTAACTCTGAGGTAATGTCTGTCTTTGAGACTGAGCTGTATTTCTTGTATGCAGCAGAAGTATGGGTTCTGTCTTTGAATCCATTCTGTTAACCTGTGTCTTTTTATGGGCGAGTTAAGGTCATTAATGTTGAGGGATATTAATGACCATTGATTGTTCATTCTTCTTTGATTTGGAATGGTTGTTGGTGGAATTATGTGTGGAATTCCACCCCTTTTTTCTTTTGGCTTTTGGTAAGGTGGTATTATGTAAAGGCTACGTTTTTCTGGTTGTAGTTAACTTCCTTGGGTTGGAGTTTTCCTTCCAGAACTTTCTATAGGGCTGGGTTAGTGGATATGTATTGCTTGAATCTAGTTTTGTCATGAAATATCTTGTTTTCTCCATCTATAGTGATTAAGAGCTTTGTGGCATACAGTAGTCTGGGCTAGCATCCATGGTCTCTTAGTGTTGGTAGAAGATCTATCCAGGACCTTCTGGCTTTCAGAGTTTCCATGGAGAAGCCAGGTGTAATTCTGATAGGTTTGCCTTTATATGTTATGTGGCCTTTTTCCTTAGCTGCTCTGAATATTCTTTCTTTATTCTGTATATTTGGGGTCTTGATTATTATGTGGCGAGGGGACTTTTTTTGTGGTCCACTCTATTTGGTGTTCTGTAAGGGTCATCATGGAGATCCCCCAAGCAACCCAGGCCGATGCTAGGTCGGAGGTTGCTCTCCACAAACTGACAGTGGGGCCCCATTTCTAAGGGCAACATCCATACTAATGTAGAGAGGCTTAACTGGTACCTGCATGGAGCCTTCACCCCTATATCCTAGTCTCTTTGGTGCAGGGAAGGTACTCTGCAGATTACCAAGAGAGAAACATGGACGCCAACCCAGTCATAAGACCCAAGACCTTCAACCTGGCCTGACTGCAAGATGTGTTGGGACAATGGGAGTGGCCAACCAATATCTGATTTAACTTGAGGCTCACTCCACCAGAGGGAGCCCATGACTGACACAGGCTGGATGACCAGGCACTGGAGACTGGGGTAAAGACTAGGGTAGAACCAAACATGACTGGTAACAAACAAATAAATACAATAAAAAAATTACTAAAATGATTCCCAATGATATTCTGCTATATTCATAGACTGATGTCTTGTCCACTTGCCATCAGAGAGGCTTCCTCCAGCAGATGGGAGGAATACAGAAACCCACAGACAGATATATGCAGAGTCTAAATTGGAGGTATTTTTAGGGTCCCTCTCCTTGGAGCTCCAGAAATCCCACAGAAGAGGGCCAGAAATATTGTAGCAGTCAGAGGGGAGGGAGGGCACCAGAAGATCATGACCACAGAATCAACTAAGCAGGACTAACATGGACTCACGGGGACTTGAAGCAACTGTGTTAAGTACCTGTGACCCACCCTCACTCCCTCCGCTGTGCGAGGTGCAGCTTCAATGTGCTCTACACTATTCGCACCAGAGGAGGGGAGAGGTGTGGCTTCATTTTCTGAACTTATAGATGAGAAAGTGGGATCTTCAGGAAATGAGGATTCATGAAAACCACATGAGCTGACGTGAGATCACACGGCTAGTAAGTGTCAGGGTTAGAGCCTCAGCACTGTGTTCTCACTATGCCATGGAGTGCAAATGCACAGAACACCATCTGCACTGTATTCTAAGACGCTTAACTATGAACACTACACCTGAGGGATAATGTGGCACTGTGCCCAATTCTTCTGTACTACACACCTCAGTCTGTGTCAACCAATCTTCAACTAAGGCTCTATTCTTTTTTTTTCTTTTTTTTTGGGGGGGGCAGTTTCATGTAGCCCAGGCTGCCCCTAAACTCTTGGTCCTCCTGCCTCTACCTCCCAGGTGCTGGGACTGCATTATGTGCCATCATGTCTAGCTACACTCTTTTCTTGATCACAAGTCACCAAGGGCTGCTGTTTACTTCATGGAAAGCTACTATTCTGCCCAGACTAGCTTTATAGCCTACTTCCTCATACAGGGTTATATCTGAATTGTGTTATAGTGTTTCCCAGCATAGCAAAAAAGGGATATTCAGTTCTAATAGCCTACAGTGTTAGCCAGCTTGATAGCATGCCCTCTATACACCTCCCCTTTCCAGTCTTCCTCAAGTACACTATTATCCACTTTCCCAAAAGAACGACCTGCTCTTCAACCGCCTTAGGTTACAGCTCTAAGGGATCTGAAGAGTAAGATGTGATTTTCTGATACTGGCGTGACAGCCCCATGCACGCCAATTGGTCACAAGCACTGGCTGTCATAAGGCTTGTTTCATTGTGTCCCCCACATACAGACATTCTCATAGTCTAGGCTATTACTAATATTTGCTTACAAAAGGAACTCACTCATTGCTTTTTGTTAGGAAACAGACACATTTTCCATTTATGTATCTAGTCTTTATTCAAGTGACCAGTATCACACACTTCTGAAACTCTTTAATTGTGGAGATTTGAGCAATTCACTTCCTAATTACACTAACAGAGGGCAAGGTAGAGGAAAGGGATTAAACTTCATTATTTTACCCAAGAAGAAAAAACCTAAACAAATCAAAAGACAAGGGACTTGTGAGTAAAAGGAAAAGAATTTTGTAAAATCTTGTAAGTATAATAAAACACAGTATATAATATGTATCATAAACACTCTCTAAGGACTGCAGTGGCGCATGGCCAGTATACATGGGTACCGCATAATGGCTGCACTTCAAATTGAAACTTGTTTTCATGTAACAACAGGGTATACATGATAAATATATAAATGCAATATGCCTGGAACACAAACTTTACTCCCTAGGAAGAAAGAACCTGTTCAGCATACAAAAGAAGAAATGGAGATTAAATATATGAAAAACCTGCTAAAATCAGTACGTTTTATTCATTAACTGACTAGTCAGTTCCCTTTTTACTGGAGACATGACTGACACAGCCTAGTAATAAAGTGAACACAAGAATCTAAGACACAGCACTAAAAATAGGGTTTCTGCACTGTTCTACAGCTGAGAGTAAATCGCCAGCCCTGAATTGTATCTTTCTTATCCCTTCGGACCACAAAGGATCATACTACATAGTATGTTTGGAAAACAAAAACCTCTTATTGAGAATAGACTTTTTATATACAGTTAATGAAAGCCTTCCTCTTCTAATGAAAAAACTAGTAATTCAAACTCTACCTGATGTTTTCTGATTAATAGATGGGACTTGCAGCAAAAAAAATCTTTTAATTAAAGCAAACTTTATTTGTATTATAAATTGCATTCTGACATATTGGACCAAGAATATTTGAGAGCGTGTCTCAGAAATACCATGAAATGACTTCTGTTTTATGATTCATAACGAATTTCAAAACAAAGTATCGTTCTTAAACATTTGCTTAACTGAACATTTTACTGCACACTCAAGTCACATTTAATAAGTTGGTTCTACTAGATAGCTCTTAATATTGATTTTCAAATAAATTGAGACATGAGAAAGACATGAAAACATTCACACTAAAAAACTGTTGTAAGTCAAACGGTGTGAATTTAAGGAACCATATAATTCTCCTTTGTTGTAGTTAAAGACACTATTCGGAGACTTTCTGGGGCCATTTATAGAGCTAAACAATACAAAAACCAAGAAACACAGCTAGCCCCACGGATATTAGCTATGAAAAATAAAAAAAAAAAGAAAAACAAAGTGCAGTACTAACATCTTAACTATGCATACAAACTCCAGTACAATGGGCAACGGCCACGCTATGGTTTATCATATGGTTTAAAGTTTACCAGTAGAGGGCGCCTGAAATGAACAACCACATAGCTGCAACAGCATGGAAAGAAATCCCTCCTTTCCTTCCACACACTGGCTAAAAATGGCAATGCTGACATGTACTCAGGAGTCCTATACAGTTCCAAGCTTTACAAAGCTACTTCATTGTCACCTGAAAAGAATTAGGCAGGGCAGCAATTGGGCGTACTTCTCAACATACCTTCCAGTTTGTTTTTTATTTTTTTTTCTTGGTTCAATATTTCAAAGTCTAGATCTGTCAAGAGAGGAAAAGTCTTTTTTTTTTAAATCTTCTTTCATCCATGGGTAAAGTTTATGGAAAATAAAATCAAGTGCAGAAGATGAATAATTAGTTATAAAGACCAGCATCATATGATTATCAGGCATAAATAATGTACTTGTTATGGCAAATCCACTCAGAACTACACAGTGGATTACCCCATGTGGATCCTGGCATCCCCATTTCCGCCTCCAACTTCTAGGTCCACTGTAGACGGAAGGAGATGAAGGGTTTCTGGGGCAAGGCTGACTGCTGAGTCTCACTGTCCTCTGAAGATGCTGACCTGATGGGGACACTGCATCACCAGTCCCAGCACTCCAACTGTTCGGGCACCGCACCAGCAGTTCATCTGTTCCATGTGACCTCACTGTCACCACCTGTCGGCCATTATTAAAAAAAAAAGAAAAATAAGAGCATGTCACCAGCCAGGTGATGCATACTCTCCTATATAGAAGTTGCCTTAGGAAATTTGAGATCAAATAATGTCCACAGTTAGAAAGACTGGAGAGAAACAGCAATTCATAGCAATCCTTGTAGTCACTGGAGTCCCAATGTGACAATCAAAATGTGGGGTATGAATAGCCATGCTTTCACATCAGTTAGTCTACAGTCACAGAGGGAAGAAAGTTTTTCTAAGTAAAGGTTACAGAATGTGATTACTATGATGTTTCAAAGAACTAAGGGTTTCTCTTTCAGAGATTAAAAAAATTGTGACAACGAAAATGAAAACACCATTGTGGTTGTCTGTAAAAACATTTTAAAACTGTTTTTCTTTTATTGAAAATAGATTTTCTACATACATTAATTCTGAATACTATTTCCCCTTCCCAAATCTCCTCCCACACCCTGTCTCTCCTTAGAAAACAAGCATCTGAAGGATAGTAATAAAGAAAACAAAGATAGGTAAACTTGAATAGAACAAAACAAATATAGGAAAAAGAGTCAAAGAAACAGCACAAGAAACACATACACATACACACACACACACACACACACACACATCCCTGTATACACAGAAATCCTATAAAAACACACAACTGGAATATATCTCCAATATATTCACAAAGATCCTGTAAGATAAAGATAAATGAGGTGTCCACCAGAGAAGACTATTTGGACACAGATTCAAGCTAATAGGAAGTCTTTATTAACTTGCTAGAGATGAGACTGGATGTTCAGAACCAGAGTACAGTCCTGAGCCTTTCTCAGGGCGAGCTTTTGTGCACAAAAACCACATCCTGAGTTGACACACCCAATTAGCCAGAAGCCAAGAAGCAAAGTACATCTGGGAATTTTCTATTTCAAAGTACTATGGACTTTGATGGATTAATCTTTGCTCTCCTTCTGGTAGGTGCTGCAGCCTACATGCTGGGTTCTAAGGTCTGAACAGTGTCTCCATCCTGGCATCAGTTGTACTAAGGTCTGGGGCCCTGCAACATGACTGCTGGGAATGGGGCCTGCCCTTACTCTTCCTCAGTATACCAAGAAAACTGTTACTAGCAAATACACATAAAACAAAACATCTTGTTCACCATGGGCAGTTTTTAAGGCCATGGCCACAGCGTCCATCAGTCGTCCATACCTCATGTGTCTTCAGTTTGGCCAGCTCCACGATCTCTAGTTTTAGGATCCACCCCGGGACTGGGACACCATGCTGCAGTGGGATGTTCCACGCCTCTGTCCATGCTCTCACCAGGCTGCAGGAAACCACAATTCAGAGGACTACACTGAGATTTTGCTGTTTGAAAAACAAACAAACAATAATGTTTTCTGCTTAACAGTATGATCAGAAACACTTTTTTAAGTGGCTTCAGCATTTAGAGTAAAACTCATGGTCTGATTCATGATCTGGTGGGAGAGAACTAAGGGCTAAATCTCCACTAGTGACCATGCCATCTAAAGTCTTTAAATGTATTTACATCCCTACAATCAAACCCTATATTAAAAAAAAAATCCGAAGAAAACTTTTTATATGTGAAGTTTTTTGGCTACAAAGACACTCATTTGGAGTGCTAATTTTTAAAGAATGGCGACACTAAAAAAAAAACACTACATAGGAAATTGCTTAAATATATTGTTTATCTACACAACAGAATTCTAAGGTGATATCAGAAATTATACTGTAACAAATACTTAAGGAAACAGACTATGCTCAGAATGTATTTTAAGGAAACAAAGCATTATGAAATTATGTTCTCTCATCCCATTACTCTGTGTAAAGATATTACATAAATGCCTTAAAAACATGAACTGAAGACTTCTTGAATGGAGCATGAGATATCTGTTGTCTTCCCATTGAAACAACTGTCCAAAGTTTTATTTTTTAAAAGAAGTTGTAATGTGTGCACTTTGTCTATGTATGTGTATAAATATGCCAGGTGTGACTCACTGCCTGTGCACATGTACGTGGAAGCCACAGGTCACAATGAAGTGTCTTCCTTTACTGCTGTCTGCCTTCTTCCCCGAGAAGAGATCTCTTACTAACCCTGAGCTTATCCGGCTGGACTGGGCTACCAGCGAGCCCTGGCATCTGCCCATTTCATCACACTGCCTGTACTGGGTTACAGTGTATGCACCACATGCCTAGCTTTTATTTTGTTGTTGGGAATTTGAACACAAGTTCTCATGCCTGCTTATGCAGTAAGCACTGTGCTTACCAAGTCATATAAGTCATGCAGCCCTTAAAAAGTGCTTAAAAAATAGTTAATTTGTATTTTATGTACATGGGTGTCTTGCATGCATGTGTGTCTGTGTGAAGGTGCTGGGTCCCCTGGGACAGGAGTTATAGACAGTTAGTAGTGAGCTGCTAAATAAATGGGTGCTGAGAATTGAACCCAGGTCCCCTGGAAGAGAAGCCCATGCACTTAATGGTGCTGAGTCATCTTTCCAGCCCCATATAGCTTTTAGAACCAATTTTTGTAAAATTTTATGACAATGAAATTTTCAATGCCCTAAAATTTTTAAGGTCATATAGAAAAAAAAAATCAAAAACATAACAAATCAAAGCAAACCAAACAAAGACAGGCAAACGCAGCTTAGCTCTCTCCCACCGAGTAAGACCTTAGCCTTCCTTCTAGGCCATCTCCACTCCTTTGTGTCAGCTGTCTATCCCTAAAAAACTTTTACCAGGGACCCTCAGTGGCCACATTGGACTGGGACTCAGGCAGGAGATGTTCACTATCCTGGTCTACAGAGTGAATTCCAGGACAGCTAGAGTGACAGAGAAACCCTGTCTCAAAAAACAAAAACATTTTCTGAACTAAGCATTATTTTCCCTACTTTCCTAATTTCTATTTGAAAGATGGAGTACTATGCATGAGAGATAGACAGTGATTTATAAACATAAACTTTAAATGTCTCAATATAAACAGAAGTGTAAATGCCAAAAGAACAAAGGACAGAGGGGCAGAAAAACAATTAACTTCCTTATTGACTGCAAAGCTCAGGCCCCAAGAAGATGTGTACTATACAGAAAACAAAACAAAGCATATTAAGTGTATTAAGTAACCAAGTAATATTTCCTAAAGATAAAGCGGTAAAACAGAAGGAAAGTATCGACACAGGCAGAAATCTTACTGTTTGTATCAATCAATGCCTTCCAGAATAACAAAATGTTTTCAGATTACATGTAAATTTCACCTGGTATAAGAAGCATATAAACTATTATTTAAGTGATTCACATAGTGATCAGGTCTATATTCTGGATAAAACAGTAAAAAAGTCTTCACAAAGTTTCCTTACATTTGACGTTAAAAATTTCTTAAAAATGAAAATATTTCTGAAGAATGGCCAAAATTTTATGTATTTAAAGATTTGATATTCTCATTCACTCAAGTGTTGCCAATGCTGGGTCTTAATGAAATCACTTTCATTCCCAACTAATGAAACACAGAGTTAATCAAAGAATCTGTCCATCTCCCACCAAGGTCCTATTAACCTAAAGCCATGCAATCTCCGTCTTCACTAACTCTGTAAATGGCACAGAACGTCTCTCATATCGCAGCTGTTTTCTGCACATGTGAAAACACTGGAAAAATTCCTATACCACTCTATCTTGAAATATTATAACTTTCCTTTTATCATTAAATTATCTGAAATTGAAACTATGGAAATAATCAATAGGCACAAAAATATAGACTAATGGTCTTTTGTTGTGACAGGATGAACCAGGGCCAAATATTAAACTGAGCTTCCAAAGCTCACCCCTGCAGTGCAGCAGGATGTCCCAGAGGGTAAAGTACTTGCTGCCAGTGTTGACAACGTGAGCTCTGAGACCAGAATCCATGTGCTGCAAGGAGAGAATTGGCTCCTGCAAATCTGTTTTCTGACTCCCTGTTAGTGTACACGCTGTGTGCAATACCCCCAATAAATAAAATAAAAATAAAACTTCTCGCCTGCACTGGAGATGTTGGGCCATTTCAACAGTACTGGCTTTATCTTTTTCATTACTTGTCACTATTGAGAACTGCTTTCTTTGTGTGAGAGACAAGTTCTCATGTATTCAAGGCTGACCTTGAATCTGCTATGTAAAGGAAGGAGGTAATCTCAAACTTCTAAGCATCCTGTTTCCACTTGATAGAACTGATAGTACAGGCATGCTCCATCATGCCTGGTTCATGAGGACTGCTTTCCTAAGCATCAGCGTTTCCCATTTTCTTAGCTTCTTTGATGGGGTAATGTTTGTGAAACATGTCATTATTCTTATTATAAACAATTGTTCACAACACAAGGTGGCCAAATGACGAACAAAAATAGTTATTATTGAGAGGGCAAAAATGATTACATTTCTCTATATGATTTGATAAACACTTACATGTACTCTTGGAAGGCACGTAAGTCATCCAAATGAGTGCCAAAGACGAGCTATGCCAACTGGGAGTGTGCCAATGAAACCGTGAAGAATGTAATGGCAAAGCTAAGGAGGTCTTTGGCACATCATGACTTGGGTGTGAGAGCTGGCTCGTGGTCTTGTTAGAAAATGAACCTGAAGAGCTGCAAAAGAGAGGGACAATATTAGAAGATGAATGGACAATACAGTGTGGTCTAAGCACACACTGAATATAATTCTACCACAACAGACACAAATGTGACTTTAAAACCTTCATGGCAAGTGACATATATATACACATCACAAAGAGCCAAGTTTTAGATGATGTGTTTAGATTTACTCTCATCGCAGGAAGCTGGCTCAATGAGAGGATGCGAAGCTGTGGCTATCATGTACCATTTCATTAGGATAATGGGAAAGCACAGTGACACAATGGTGATGGTTAAACACAAAGGTAAAGTACTTAAGGTCACTCAGTGGTTTAAAACATGACACTCTAAGTTTCTTATGCATATTTATCATAATAACAGAGGAGTTACAAGCTTGGTTCACTTCCTCAACCCACCAGCATCTATCCTCTTGTTCAAACAGTAATTTTGAGTGCCTATCCTCGTGCAAGGAACTGTTGCCACAATTCTTGGTTCTCTGTGAAGTTCCTTCCCAGAGGGATCCTTTTTCTACATTTCCAGGTACAGTATCTATTCCTTTCCTGAAATTTACAAATGTCCCTTCCTTTTCCTCACTTGCTTCCTCCCATGAGGTGGAACTCAGATGGTTCCCTGCCTTAGTCTAGGGCTCTAGGTCCAGAGAACATACTAATGGTCTCTTACTGCATGTGTGTTAAACAAAACGTGTAGTATTATAGTCAACCAGAATCCAAATAACAGAAGCTGACTCTTTCATAGTGACAGCAATGATCACAGCATACCTGATGTAAAATATGGAGCAGTTTTGCATTGCTACATTTTGAGTGACTTGAAAAAAAAATATTGAAGTGTGAATCATGTTACCTTAATCCAGAAAGAAAAAAATACAGTGATAGAAACTATATTGTACAAGTGTACTCCTAGTATGCCAGATGCTCAAAGATGGGTAAAAACTTCAATTATCCTGAAAAAAAAAAACTTCCTCCATCTTAAATGTTATCATATAGTTACTACTATAAGTAGAAAATAAAAACATGAAATTTATTGCAATATAAAATAGGACTTATTTTTCTCCACCAATGTATGAACTCCATGATTGACCACGGTACTTATCCAATGACATTTATGAAAGTTTGTCACTCAAAAGGGAAGTACTAAGCAGCCAGGAAAAGAAATCCGCTGGATGTGTGCAAGGGTGTGTGTACATATGTATGCATGTGTGCAAGTGTACCCACATCCATAAATATGGAAGGTGATTCTATAACAAAAATAAGTTCAAATAGAAAAGCTTGTCACCTTCATTTAAACCAATGTCTACCTAGTTCCTTTCTTTTTAGAGTTTAACTTTGTGTTTATGAGTGTTTTGTCTGCACATGTCTGTGTGCAGCATGCAGTGTCCAGAAGTCACCATAGGCGTCAGATCCCCTAGAACTGGAGTTACAGATGGTTGTAAGGTGCCATGTGGTACTGGGAATTGAACCTGGGTCCTCTGGAAGAGCAGCAAGTGCTCTTAATCACTGAGCCATCACTCCAGCCACTTTTATTTGCTAAGTATCATCTTTATTTCTGATTTTGTTTTAAAAAAAGTCTTGTTTCTCTTCTTTTTCTGACCTTTACACATCTGCTCTTCCAAAATTCATGTAAGCTCTAACAGTGGCCATCAAGACAGGGACTGTGGTAAATGAGAATTCCTCTCTTCTGTCAAATCTTCCATTCCATTAGTTAACTTATGGAATGTTATTTTCAGCCATTACTTTGTGACAGCCTCAGCATAAACTCAAAAGAGAAGAAAGTGACCTATGTATCCTGAGATATCTCTTTATGGCACATTGTGGCTCAGAATCTGCCAACCACATCCAGAAACTGAGAAACTGTGAAGTCATGGAGGAACTGCCTTGATTATGCTCATCCTTAAAATCTTGGAAGTCAGAGACACACTCAAGACATTCTACTGACTTTTAATTGTCACCTGCCTATCATTCTCCTGATTTTCACAGGAATCACTAGAAAAAATTTGACAGTAATTACAATGCACTTTTGATTCATTTTAATAGTTTCAACTGGCTACTAAAGCAAAGCTGGCTTTAATGTGAAAAATTATGACAAAACATACATGATTATGAGACTAGATTGAGTGTTAATGTATGTATAGGTAATCCATGTGAGTGATGCTCGAGTGTTCAACATGATACCCAGTGTGAACTGTTAATGTTCCTTGCTTTGCTTGACATTTTGTTCTCTTGTAAAAGCACTGTTTGTCTAAGGTATACAGTTTATTGTGTTTACTGTCTACCATCCATCTTAAAGCAAGCTGTGTAGGCAAGGGTCTGTGTTTCCTACTGACGTGTCCCAAGAGCAGAGAACAGTACCTGCACCAATACTTTATGTCTGAGAAATACAGGATAAAATGCATTAGCAAACAGGAGTCCCCAGAGAATCTCTGTGAAGTTTGTTTCCTCATTGTATCCTAGAGTAGTCAGGGCAGCATTATCAAAGTTTATGAAGAACTCTGTATCTTGGGAGATTCTTAAGCATAAGCAAGCAACTGGGAACCCATCAAGTCCCTCTACTCTCTGTGTCATGAAAATGTGGCTGCCAATAGTGAATGGGAAAAAGAGGGAAAGGAGACATGGACAGAGTAGAGAAACAGAACAGTGGTGAATGTGGTGATTACCCCAGCAATGGCTAACGGTGGTTGCTGGGGGGAAAAGTGCTTTTTCTATAATTGGGGTGAAACTAGATGGGATTAAGGTTCTTTTGAACAACTGTATGTTCACATGTGCAGGTGCATGCAGAAGCTACATGGATGTCATTCTTTAGGAGCTATCCATCTTACTGAGACAGGGTCTCAGTAGAACTTGAAGCTGGCTAAGTAGCCTAAGGAGGCTGGCCAGAGTTCCCGCTGTGTATGTGCCCCACCCCCACACCCTCCCCAGTGCTAGGATTGCAAGTGTGTGCTACCATGCCTGGCTGTTATGTGGGTTTTGTGGATTGAACCTGGGTCAACATTCCTCAGTATACACTTTACAGGCTAAACTACCTATCGAAGCACTCCTCTATTTAAAATGTCCTTTATTTTGTTTTGTCCATTTGTGACAGTGTCTCATGTAAACTGGGCTGGTCTTCACTACGCTGAGGTCTGAGGGTCACACTGTACTTCTCAAGCCCTGGCTTCATTTCCCAATGAGAGTATGATAGGCAGAGACCACCAGGCCAGGTTTTGTTCCTGGTTTATGCATGCTTTGTGCATGCTGGGCAAACATTCTGTCAACTGAGCTACATCTCCAGCAACCTGACCCTGAGTCCTCTATAAATCACAGTATTCTTCTATGCATTTGGCAAATACTCTTCTCCCATCAGTCCTGCAGCTTCAACTCTCACCTTGCTGTCAGTCTGGATACTTAACATCCTTTGTCTATGCAGTGGCAGGAAAAGTGTTTTTCCCCAGTCCATATTCAGAACAGACATGTCAATACAACTAGCTAGAAATAAAAGGCCGTAAGCCAGCAGTACACACCTGCACACACAGAACAGGTTGATGTTGGTGTTGTACAGTGAAAAGTCACTAAAAGTTGACTAGGTTCTTTTTGTTGCAGCCAGATGTTTTCCGAAGCCAGCAATGTGGGCGGCTATTTCCTCCCTGGTTCTTGACAAATCCAGGTAAGAGTCTGCTCCACTGCAGCTATTCTCCAGTGGTGACTCTTGCTCTCTTCTTCCACTCTCTACACAATTTCACTTGTGTACATCCAACTAATTTAAAAGGATGAACAAACAAAAAACCCAAAAAGCAAAAAGAGACAATAGAAACAGACAAAACCATCAGGACACTTGTATCTTATGTCAATTATAGACACTTGTTTCCACTCTGGGTAAATATTTTGACATGGTGATTCTTATTGACTCCTCAGTTACTGGCCTTCAAAAATGAAGGTCCTATGGTTTAGCAATGTCAATTTAGTCCCTGAAAGTATGAGGACAGGGATATCTGTCCACAGAGCCTGTGCCACCAAATCCCGGTTTCCATGAGCACTTTCCCTGGTGTGTGACTCAGGCACTAGCTGACACAATGTCCCCAGGGAATTAGACAGAACAGGGAGAAGCGCCCTGTTCTCTGTCCCCAGGGGAATTAGACAGAACAGGGAGAAGCACCCTGTTCTCTGCCCCCAGGGGATTAGACAGAACAGGGAGAAGTGCCCTGTTCTCTGCCCCCAGGGGAATTAGACAGAACAGGGAGAAGTGCCCTGTTCTCTGCCCCCAGGGGATTAGACAGAACAGGGAGAAGCGCCCTGTTCTCTGCCCCCAGGGGAATTAGACAGAACAGGGAGAAGCGCCCTGTTCTCTGCCCCCAGGGGAATTAGACAGAACAGGGAGAAGCACCCTGTTCTCTTTCCCCAGGGGAATTAGACAGAACAGGGAGAAGCACCCTGTTCTCTTTCCCCAGGGGAATTAGACAGAACAGGGAGAAGCACCCTGTTCTCTGCCCCCAGGGAATTAGACAGAACAGGGAGAAGCGCCCTGTTCTCTGCCCCCAGGGGAATTAGACAGAACAGGGAGAAGCACCCTGTTCTCTGCCCCAGGGGAATTAGACAGAACAGGGAGAAGTACCCTGTTCTCTGCCCCCAGGGGATTAGACAGAACAGGGAGAAGCACCCTGTTCTCTGCCCCAGGGGATTAGACAGAACAGGGAGAAGTGCCCTGTTCTCTGCCCCCAGGGGAATTAGACAGAACAGGGAGAAGCACCCTGTTCTCTGCCCCCAGGGGAATTAGACAGAACAGGGAGAAGTACCCTGTTCTCTGCCCCCAGGGGATTAGACAGAACAGGGAGAAGTGCCCTGTTCTCTGCCCCCAGGGATATTAGACAGAACAGGGAGAAGCGCCCTGTTCTCTGCCCCCAGGGGAATTAGACAGAACAGGGAGAAGCGCCCTGTTCTCTGTCCCCAGGGGAATTAGACAGAACAGGGAGAAGTGCCCTGTTCTCTGCCCCCAGGGGATTAGACAGAACAGGGAGAAGTGCCCTGTTCTCTGCCCCCAGGGGAATTAGACAGAACAGGGAGAAGTACCCTGTTCTCTGCCCCCAGGGGATTAGACAGAACAGGGAGAAGTGCCCTGTTCTCTGCCCCCAGGGATATTAGACAGAACAGGGAGAAGCGCCCTGTTCTCTGCCCCCAGGGGAATTAGACAGAACAGGGAGAAGCGCCCTGTTCTCTGTCCCCAGGGGAATTAGACAGAACAGGGAGAAGTACCCTGTTCTCTGCCCCCAGGGGATTAGACAGAACAGGGAGAAGTGCCCTGTTCTCTGCCCCCAGGGGAATTAGACAGAACAGGGAGAAGTACCCTGTTCTCTGCCCCCAGGGGATTAGACAGAACAGGGAGAAGTGCCCTGTTCTCTGCCCCCAGGGATATTAGACAGAACAGGGAGAAGCGCCCTGTTCTCTGCCCCCAGGGGATTAGACAGAACAGGGAGAAGTGCCCTGTTCTCTGCCCCCAGGGGAATTAGACAGAACAGGGAGAAGTACCCTGTTCTCTGCCCCCAGGGGATTAGACAGAACAGGGAGAAGTGCCCTGTTCTCTGCCCCCAGGGATATTAGACAGAACAGGGAGAAGCGCCCTGTTCTCTGCCCCCAGGGGATTAGACAGAACAGGGAGAAGCGCCCTGTTCTCTGCCCCCAGGGGAATTAGACAGAACAGGGAGAAGCGCCCTGTTCTCTGCCTTTGTGTTCCCGTATGGACTATAGTGGTACTTACCTTCGAGGCATTCTATGAGGAAAGGACATTATCTATCTTTGAACAGGGTCTAGCACACAGTAGGAGCTGTACAAATTTCTCTTATCAATGATGGGAGATGAAGTAGCACACTGGAAAAGCCACGCTGATGGAGGTCATGCTTTCGCTCTCTAGGAACTAGAAAAAGGTGTGTCAGAAGACTCAACACCATGTTAACATGGAAAAAACAGCTTTTGAGATCATTTACTACCTTTTCTCTAAAACTGATTTTTACTAAATTTCTATCTAAACAACACTAAATACAGTATATACTGGGTAGCTGACATAATTTGGTCAACAAAAAAATTGTATATCATAATGTAGTTCAGACATAGTTGTCATAAAATGATGTAGATAACCTCACAAAAATCAGGACACATGCTTAGAGGACTTTGGCCACAAAGATTGCTCAGGGCAGACAGAGATAGTAAGAGGATACCAGGAGGCCCACTTTGAAACAGCCTGAGTGGTCTAAATTTCTTTGGAACATCTTTAGTAATTCTAAGAACAAGTGCTTTTATCGAATGCGCAAGGTATTTAAAGCATAGATATCCAAATGGACAAGCCGCCTAAAGATATGCTCATGTACAGATACAAACTTAGTTTCATTAACAAACTAGAGCAGCATAGGTTTTACACCAGACCAAAAGAGGGGGGGGGCGCCCACCAGCACACACTTGAAGTGACTCTAACAGAAACATGTTATAAAAAGAAGGTGGCAGATGACAGCTACCCAGTGCAGTCCTAGGGAATGCACAATCAGGGTTAGAGTCCCTGCAAGCTGCCACTGAAGAGCATGACACACCATATGAAGCTGCCAGAGTGTAGCTGAGGCTTCAGCTGAGGTCCCAGAACGTGGACATGCCAGAATGTGGACCACATGTTAAGAAAAGCTGTGGATAAGGGGCACAGTCCACAAAGGAGGCCACGTGGGCTTTAAAGGACAATACTTTGAAGAAGGAATGCTGTGAACACCTCCAAGTGTCTACAATCTCACAACCAGTTTGCACCATACTCCAGACAGGGAGCTATAGTATTTAATGTCTGTCCTCCTGGGTTCTGGTCTTGCTCTGGTCCAGCTGTTTTTGCAATTCTTCTACTACTCTCTTTTGTAACTGGATATTTACTCCGTGCCATTTTATCGTGGAAGAATGCAACACATTTTTTAGTTTTACAGAGGTAAACCTTTGCTTTGAGTCTGAGGCTTTGGAATTTTGAACAATACTTGAACTGACACACCTGAAGATAACAGTGTACTTTGCATTATGAGATGACCATGAGTGTTTCGAGGGCCAGAGGTGGAATGCTACTGTTGGGTTAGCAAAGGACTCATATGCGAGGTACCCAGGGATCATTAACCTGAATATTTAGTGGGAAGTTCTTCCTCAGCTATGCCTGGAGAGAGAGTAATTAGCCGGTGCAGCAAAAATCCTTAGAAAATTGATACTTGCTAATTTTTGGGAACCTAGAAGAAAGTTTTCGGGGGCCTGCTACAGAGCTTCTTCCCTCCTGGTGGAAGACACGTACCCCAGATACCAGGCCTTCTCTTCCACCAACGGGACCAGGGGACCAGGTAAACCGGGCTCTGTATCTGGGACTGCTTTCCAGTGCCTGAGGCCTGCTACAGAGCACCCCTCCTGGCGGGAGTCACGCACCCCAGATACCAGGCCTTTTCTTCTACCAATGGGACCAGGGGACCAGGTAAACAGGGCCCTGTATCCGGGCCTCCTTTCCAGTGCCTGGGGACTGCCTGGGAACTGCTACAGACCCTGCTGTCCCGGTGGGAGCCAACCACCTCACCCCAGATTCCTGGTTTTCTTCCATCAATGGGACCAGGTAAACCGGGCCCTGTATCCGGGCCTGCCTTCCAGTGCCTGGGGACTGCTACAGAGTCTCCCCTCCCAGCTACAGCCAACCACCCCAGATACCTGGCCTTCTCTTCCACCAACAGGACCAAAGGACCAGGTAAACCAGGCCCTGTATCAAGGCCTGCCTTAAAGTGCCTGGGGACTGCCTGGGGACTGCTACAGAGCCTCCCATCCAGACAGGAGTCACACACTCCAGATTCCTGGTCTTCTCTTCCACCAACGGGAGAGTGCATGCAGACCACCAGTGGGAGCCTACCCATCCCAGATTACCGGTCTTCTTCTCCACCCACAGGACCAACTAGGGACCAGGAAGAGGAGAACGACCAGAGTCCTGGACTTGCTTGCACCCACCAAAAGGGAACTCTGTTCGCCAAACCACCAGACCAGTAAGGGGCTCTTTCTGCACCCACTAGAAGAAGAGATGGGAAAGAGACAAGAGAAAAACACATTGAGTAACAGAAAAACAAATATGACACCACCAGATTCTAGAGACTCCACACCAGCAAGACTCCAACATTCTAATGCAAATGAAGAAGAGAAGGTCCTTAAAAACAACCTCATGTAAATGATAAAGAAGGATATAGGAAAATCCCTCAAAGAAATGGAAAAAAAAACAAACCAAAAAATGCAAGAAATGGAAGAAAAAGCAAACCAAAAAACTCGAGAACTGGAAGAAAAAGCAAAATAAAAATTGCAACAAATGGAAGAAAAAAAAACCAAACAATGCAACAAATGGAAAAAAAACCAAAAAAATTCAAAAAAGGCAACAAATGGACGAAAAGACAAAGCAAAAACTGCAAGAAACAATTCAACCAGTGCAAGGGTTGAAAACTGAAATAGAGACAATAAAAAACACAATCTGACGGAAAGCTGGAAATAGAAAAGCTGGGCAAATGGTCAGGTACTACAGATGCAAGCATAACCAACAGAATACAAGAGATGGAAGAGGGAATCTCAGGTATTGAAGATAAACTAGGAGAAACTGATTCATCGACCAAAGAAAATCTTAAGTCCAACAAAAACCTAACACAAAACATCTATGAAATATGGGACACCATGAAAAGACCAAACATAAGAATAATAGGTATAGAAGAAGGTGAAGAAAACCACCTCAAATGGGCAGAAAATATATTCAACAAAACCATAGAAGAAAACTTTCCCAAGCTAAAGAAAGACATGCCAATGAAGGTAGAAGAAGTTTACAGAACACCAAATAGAGTGGACCACAAAAAACGTCCTCTGGCCACACAATAAACAAGACCCCAAATATACAGAATAAAGAAAGAATATTAAGAGCAGCTAAGGAAAAAGGCCACATAACATATAAAGGCAAACCTATCAGAATTACACCTGACTTCTCATGGAAACTCTGAAAGCCAGAAGGTCCTGGATAGATATTCTACCAACAATAAAAGACCACGGATGCCAGCCCAGACTACTATACCCAGCAAAGCTTTCAATCACTTTAGATGGAGAAAACAAGATATTCCATGACAAAACTAGATTCAAGCAATACATATCCACTAACCCAGCCCTACAGAAAATTCTGGAAGGAAAACTCCAACCCAAGGAAGTTAACTACAACCAGAAAACCATAGCCTTTAGATAATATCACCTTACCAACAGCCAAAAGAAAAAAGGGGTGGAATTCCACACATAATTACACCAATAACAACCATTCCAAATCAAAGAAAATGAGCAATCAATGGTCATTAATATCCCTCAATATTAATGGTCTTAACTAGCCTATAAAAAGACACAGGCTAATAGAATGGATGCAAAGACAGAACCCATCCTTCTGTTACATACAAGAAACACACCTCAGCCTCAAAGACAGACATTACCTCTGAGTTAAAAGTTGGTAAAAGATTTTCCAATCAAATGGACCCAAAATCCTAATATCTAGCAAATTAGACTTTAAAATAAAATCAATAAAAAGAGATCAAGGAAGTCATTATATACTCATCACAGGAGAAATCCACCAAGATGAAGATTCAATTCTGAACATATATGCCCCAAATACAAAGGAATCCACGATTGTAAAAGAAACATTACTAAAACTCAAATCACATATAAAGCCCCACACACTTATAGTGGGAGACATCAACACCCCACTCTCACCACTAGACAGGGATACCAGACAGAAGCTTAACAAAGAAGCAAAGGGGCTAATATAAGTTATGACTCGATTGGGATTAACAGACATGTATAGAACATTCCATTCAAATAAAAAAGAATATACGTTCTTCTTACCACCACATGGAACCTTCTCATAAATCGACCATATACTTTGCAACATATCAAGCCTGAACAGGTACAAAAAAATTGGAATAACTCCATGCATCTTATCAGACCACCATGTGCTAAAATTAGAATTCAACAACAATACAAATTGCAGAAACCCTACCAACTCATGGAAATTGAATAATGTACAATTGCACCATTCCTGGATCAAAGAAGAAATAAAAAAAGAAATTAAAGACTTCCTAGAATTCAATGACAATGAAGACACAACATACCCAAACTTATGGGACACTTTGAAAGCAGTGCTACAAGGGAAGTTCATAGCACTAAGAGACCACATGAAGAAACTGGAGAATAGTTATCTAGAGAATTAACAGCACAGCTGAAAGTTCTAGAACACAAAGAAGCAAACTCACCCATGAGGAGTAGATACCAGGAAATAATCAAACTGAGGGCTGAAATCAATAAAGTACAAACTAGGAAAACACTACAAAGAATCAATACAACGAAGAGTTGGTTCTTTGAGAAAAATCAACAAGATAGACAAACCTTTGTCCAAACTTACCAAAGGGGAGAGTGTGAACATGCAAATTAGCAAAATCAGAAAGGAAAACGGGGACATAACAATGGACTCTGAGGAAATTCAGAGAATCATCAGGTCATACTTTGAAAACCTGTACTCCAGATGGCCTCAGTGCAGAATTCCACCAGAAACTCAAAGAACAGCTTACACCAATTCTTCTCAAAGTATTCCACACAATAGAAGCAGAAGGGTCTTTGCCAAACTCTTTCTACAAGGCTTCAATAACCTTTGTATCCAAACCACATAAAGACACAATTAAGAAAGAGAACTTCAGACCAATATCCCTCATGAACATTGATACTAAAATACTGGCAAATCTGGTCCAAGAACACATCAAAACAATCATTCACCACGATCACGTAGGCTTCATCCCAGGGATGCAGGGATGGGTCAACATATGAAAATCCATCAATATAATCCACCATATAAACAAGCTGAAAAACAAAAATCACATGATCATCTCACTAGATGCAGAAAAAGCCTTTGACAAAATCCAACATCCCTTCATAATAAAGGTCTTGGAGAGATCTGGGATAACAGGAACTTACCTAAACATAATAAAAGCTATTACAGCAAACCAACAGCCAACATCAAACTAAATGGACAGAAACTCAAGGTGATTCCGCTAAAATCAGAAACAAGACAAGGCTGTCCACTCTCTCCACACCTTTTCAATATTGTACTTGAAGTTCTAGCTAGAGCAATACGAAAACAAAAGGAAATCAGGCGGATACAAATTGGAAAGGAAGAGGTCAAACTTTCACTATTTGCAGATGATATGATAGTTTACATAAATGACCCAAAGAACTCTACCAGGGAACTCTTACAGCTGGCTAACACCTTCAGCAAAGTGGCAGGCTACAAGATCAACTCAAGAAAATCAGTAGCCCTACTATATACAGATGATAAAAGGGCTGAGAAAGAAATCAAAGAAACATCACCCTTTACAATTGCCACAAACAACATAAAATACCTAACTAAACAAGTGAAAGACCTGTATCCCAAGAACTTTGAGTCTTTAAAGAAGGAAATTAAAGAACACACCAGAAAATGGAAAGATCTCCCATGCTCTTGGATAGGTAGGACCAATGTAGTAAAAATGGCAATCCTGCCAAAAGCAATCTACAGATTCAATGCAATCCCCATTAAAATCCCAGCACAATTCTTCACAGACCTTGAAAGAACAATAATCAATTTTGTATGGAAAAACAAAAGACCCAGGATAGCCAAAACAACTCGGTTCAACAAAGCAACACCCAGCTCTATTTTAGAGCTGTAGTCCTGAAAATAGCTTAGTATTGGCACAAAAACTGACAGGTAGACCAATGGAATCGAATTGAAAACCCACACATGTATGAACATCTGATCTTTGACAAAGAAGCTAAAAATATATAATGGGAAAAAAAGCATCTTCAACACATGGTGCTGGTATAACTGGATGATGGCATATAGAAGAATGTGGATTGATACATGTCTATCGCCATGCACAAAAGTTAAGTCCACATTGATCAAAGATCTCAACATAAACCCAGCCACACTGAACTCTTTGAAGAGAAAGTGTGTGATACCCTTGAACGAATTGGTACAGGAGACTGCTTCCTGAACATAACACCAGTAGCACAGACAGTGAGGTCAACAATTAATACATGGGACCTCCTGAAACAGAGAAGCTTCTGTAAGGCAAAGGACAGAGTAAACAAGACAAAAAGGCAGCCCACAGAATGGGAAAAGATATTCACTCAGCTGACATCTGACAGAGGGCTGATCTCCAAAATTTACAAAGAACTCAAGAAGCAAGTCTCTAAAACACCAACAGATTATTTTGAGAAAGCAGGCTTTAAGCCATAATTATTCAGATGAGATTAAGGTTAGTCATCAGGAATAAAGGTACCACCCCTTTCAAGAACACTTGGTGTACTATGCTGGGTTCTTTAATGACTAGGGAAAGGACTGAGTGGAATTTACAACTGCACATTCTGAAACATCTGCAGGCACAGTTTGGGAACTGGGGATACATACCATCATCTTATCCATAAGCACACTAATGAACTAACACAAAACAATCTGTCATTTTTATGACATCCATCATAGGAAAGTCTCAGCCAATATTTGCTAATTCATGAAATAGAGTGAATAATAAAGTAGAATAAAGAAGAATGGCTACCATAAACACAAACAAAATCTCTTTCTCTCATTCCTTAGCTATGCGACAATATATAGTTACACATATAGTTAAACATCCTGCATTTAATTTTTATGACTTATGAACAGTATTGGTACTTACCTTGTAAGTATGCTATAGAGATTAAATAGGAAACAAAGTTCTGAAAGACCTAACTAGTTGCAAGGCACCTACAAGATTTTCTATAACTGGTACTAAATCACTCTATGAAGGTAGAACAGTAACTTCAACAACTCACCATAGCCTACTTCTTATATACTGGTAAATGCACAGCAGGCCCTAAAAAGAGTAAAAAAATAAAAAAAAATAGAAATGATACCTAGATTATTCTTAATCTTGTACATTGAATTTACAACACCAAATGAACAATATTCAGGGGAAACGAGTGCTTTCAAAGTCATTTTCAAATACCTCCAAAAGTCTTCCATTGAAGAGGATTTTTCCCCTACAAAGATATAATTTTAAGTGATATTAAAATACAGTAATATTTGAAATATTACAAAATTATTGTAAAACATGTAAAACACTTCTTATATAACGATATATAACCACTTTCTTTCCTTTCCATGTTGTTTTTCTCAAATAATGAATGGTGACATAAATTCAAAACATGATCATTAACACATGGTACACAATTTCTATTTGTTTAATGTTTTCATACAAATTTCAACTTAATACTTAAGGTATTAACTTTTATTGATGAAAACACTACATTCACATATTTCTTAAGACCAGAGCTAAAATGACCTCAGAAAATCATCACACTTACACGAAATACTGATAATTTACATATCATTTCTTTTCCCTTTTCTTGGTTTTCTGACACAGGGTTTCTCTACATAACATCTCTGGCTGTCCTGGAACTTAGAGATCCATCTGCCTCAGACTCCCAGAGTGCCAGGATTTCTGGCTTAATCTACGTACTGTTTCTACACAGCATTCATACTATGTATAATCTTGGTGTCATCCACTGTAACTGTGGATACATTAGTGTTTAAGTTACAAGTTTTAATACTTAAAACATAAAAATTACTATTCTTGCCAATCAGTGGATGGATAAACAAACAGAAAATTATAAAACGGAATGGATTATTTGTACACATTAAACAAACTATGTATAAGAGAACCCATACACAAAAGTCACAATATCTCAGGATTCCATTTATGTTATACCCCAAATCAGTGAACTTATGGGCAGAAAGTATGTCAGCAGTTCCCAGGGGCTGAGGAAGAATAACTTAAAAGTGGTCACTGATAAACTGGGGCTTCTGCTGCAGCTGAGAGAAATCATCTGAGACTAGACAGTCATGATGATTTCACATGTGATGAATATGCTAAAGGTCACCAAACTGTGTACTCTAAAAGGGAGAATTACACTAAATTTTAAGTTAAAAAAATAATGTTCCAGTAAAGATCACAGTGTCCGTGACTGTGAGTTGGAGTGTAAGAAGCAAGTTCTTTAAGACAAAGACGTCACATTAGGAGAAATTAAAACATTTTAGTTATATTTATTTAGGATGTGTATAGGTCAGAGAACAGGCTATGTGAACCAGAGCTCTCTCCCTCCATCATGGTCCACATCAGTCTTTAGGCTTGAGGGCAAGTGCCTTAACCCACTGAGCCATCTTGCAGGCTTAGTAAGGGAAACTGTGATGACATATTTAAGAATACATTGAAGGAAAACATTGTTCTGGTTTACATATGTAAGAAAGATCTTTCCCACAAACTAAACTACAATTTTTATAAGAAGCCAAAATTATCAGGTAACAATCATTCCAATGTTGTCGATTATATTTTATACACAAATGCAGCCTTCCCTACAGCAAGGCATTCAGTCTAGGAAACAATAAACTAACCTTTCTAAGGGTGATCCAAGACTCAGCTGATGAAAATTTCATAGATGCTGTTTCTAGGTGGTGTTATTTCAAGAAAAAAATGTACGCACAGGGATCTTGCTGCAAGAAACTGCCTGAAGGTGAAAATAATGTTCTGAAAAACCAGTGACTTTGCAATGTCTCAAGAGGATGGCGATGCATATTCATCTTCTGACATAAGCAGATTCTCTTAAGATGGACAGCATCAGAAGCTCATAAGTAAGTTTTCAGAGTGACACAGAGCTCTGGCACCCTTGGCTGGGAAACCTTCAGCTTGGAGGCCTGCCCACACTCTTGGCTCAAGGCCTCCATTATCTGTGCTTATCTGAGGACTTATGATGCTTCTTCTCTTCCTTATCTCCAGAACTGTCCCATTTCTCTTTCTTTTCTACCTTTTCTTTATCATGTCCAGACTCCTTTTTCCCACTGGATATTTTATCCGTCTTTTCAGGTTTAAAGGAATCACCTTTTTCTTTGCCTGAGGATTTTGACTTATTCTTTTCCTTGTCTTTCTCATTTGGATAAGCAGACTCACAGGGAGTTTCACTTTTGTGTTTTGAAATCCCCAATATGCCATTTTCATCTTTCCGCCTTTTCACTAAGTCTAAGGGCACTTCCCGGTCATTGTTTGAATAATCCCGTTTCCGCTCTTTCCGGTCCTTTTCATCTTTTTTCTCTCTTTCTCTGGATCTTTCTCTTGACTTGTCCAAATCTTTCTTGTCCGTTTCTCTCTCCTTATTCTTGCACAATGGTGGTGGAGCATGGTTGATATAGAGCTTTGCTGAAGACTCCTTGAGCTTGATGAGACTCTCCTTTATTGTGGAAGAATGTGATGGAGAAGGGTGGGAATCAACCTTGCGACGTTTTTCTCTTTCAGGCTCTAAATTATCTGTTCGAGAAACAGGTGATTTCAAGGCCCCAGAAATTGGCGCTTTTTCTCCTCCTTTAACATTTTCTTTTGATTTTATTTCCTTTATTAAGTCTCTTTCTTTTGATGGCTCTTTCTCTTTTTCTCTTTCTTGAGAGGATTTTGATTCTACATTGGGGATGATGATCCTGAATTTCTCATCTTTAGCTTTTTCCTCTTTCTTTAATTTTTCCTTATCTTTGTCAGATTTAGGCATTCTTTCCTTGGTCTCTCTTATCTTTTCATCTTTATTAGGCTGCTCTTCCTTGGGTTTTTCTTTATTGTCTTTACCAAGTACCCTAGTCTCTGGGGTAACAGCTGGAGTCTTTTCCTTTTTCTCTTTTTCCTTCTCTTTCCCCTTCTCTTTGTCGTTTTCCTTAACAGCTTTGGTACTGGAGCCACTATTTCCATTGCTTGAATTCCCTTTTGGTATGGTGCTAGAAACTTTATTAGGAGCTTTCACACCACACTGAGTCCTTTCCCGGGTCTTGTCAGTCTCCTCGGTACTGCTCTCATCTGACTTAGATGTACTTCCTATGGACAACGGCAGCCCACTACACGGCCCATTTTGCGTACTTGTACCAGCATTTCTTGGAGGAGGATCTTTGTGATGAAATTCATTTTCAGGAATCATGTGTGACTTTCTACTTTTCAGCTGCCCAGAGTAAACCATTGCTAATGCATACAGATCTGGCTTCTTTTCTTTCTCTTCTTGGCAGATTTTATGCACTCTTCTTTCCAAAGCCTGACCCAAATTTAAAACTTTGGGGTACCATGGCAGTATTTTTGTTAGCACAATCAAGATATTCCTGATATGAGTGTATTCACCAGTTTCAAGGCAATGTACTGATGCCTTGGTAAGTTTATAATGCCATTTATGTACAACATGTCGAAAATTCTCATAATCTAACTGATCAGCTTTATTTCCACCATCAAATCCAGTTGCTCGTAGTATAGTAAGAAATCCTGGATAGTTTCCACATTCCTTCTCATAGGTGGATCTGTCGCTATGCCACCTAGTCACAGTCTCTAACATGCAGCAAAGAAATCTCCCATATCGACTAGCTTCATTTTCAGTAAAGCTAGCAACCATGTAAATTATGTCAGAGAAAACTCGGTCATAGCAGAGAAGTGTGGAGAAATTTGGAGTCTTCTGCTGATGGACCAACTCAACAAAATGAGCACAGTAAACAGAATCAATTGCAGAAAAAATACACCGAGGAAATATACACAACTGGAGAAACTTGGTGATGGTCTCATTTTTAGTAGATTTTGCTAAGAGCCAGTTGTCCTTTTCCAGTTTCAGTCTCTGTAGAACCCGCTGCACATGCTCCATCTGTTTCTTTTCTTCTTCAAGAAGCTTGTCCTGAAGGGCAGTACAGCGCTCTTTCTCTTTTTTCTTTTTATTCAGAGGCATTTCTTGATTGTCATCAATCGCTTTCATCTGAATCTTAAGTTTACTGACCTCTCGTTCATAGCTGGTATGTGGAACTGCAAGGTCATACATTGTTAGAGACCAGAATGTGGTGTAGAACTGAGGGCTGATATCTTCCCAGACTTTAGAAATGTGTAAGGAGATCACTGCTTCATGGACAGGAGCCATCACCATTTCACATGCTGTAATGTACTTATGAACTTTATGCTGCTGCTTACTACCCTTTTCCGATTTCTTAAGCTCATCGTACTTTGATGAAATATGGTGTGCATACATTGGCCGAGACAGAAAAAAGGCTGCATCATGGGGCGTATGAAATTCATTGCACAGCACATCAATCGAAGGCACTCTCTTTATGTAATCATCTGTGCTTAAATTTGATGCTAAAAATCCACCAAACTGTACTAAAGTATCATGACACTGGTCATACAACTTTCCAACAAGTTTCAAATGTTTCTCTCCACCTTCCTGAAAGATCACCCCATTCCTCTGCTGAGCCATAAGCAAACAGAGAGGAAGGGCAAGATCATGGTCCAGTAGTGCATCCTTCAATCTCTGAGAGGATTTCTTAGTGTTTCTTATCTGGCCAAAATACCCACCCTCAGCTTTCAGTTGCTCCCCACCAGTCATAGCCTCTAGCTGCTCCGTTGTCATTTCTTCTGTAACTTCTATTCCTGCCATTTTTTGTACCACTTCTTTCAATATAAGCAGGTCAAAACTTTTGCCTGCCTTTAACTGATTGGCTACATACTGAAGAAGACCAGCAAGGTCAATCGGGTATTTACGGAACACTGCACCACAGAAACTAGCCAGACTCTGGAGCCAGCTTGAGATGGTTGTATCATCGTGTTTCATTCTTTCTTTTTCTGGATTAGCTAAAGCTTCGATGATACAATAGGCCAAAACATCGTAATTCAACGCAGTGAGATATTTCAATGAGTCCACCACAGGTGTTATTAAGTTATCGTACTTCTGTATTTGTGACAAGACATAATCAAACAAAATGGTTGGATTGCTGTGACTCAGTTTCCCAATCTGTCTTCCCGAAGGCTTCACATTTTCCTTAGTTAGACGCTTCATGATGTACTTGGCTCTGTCTACTGTATGGGCTTTAACCTTTACTAAAAGTGGGTGACTATGGTAAGTCTCATTCTTCCACTGGCCATATAAGCGGTATCTATGCTGATAAGGAAATGTTTTAAACATTCCCCATAGTTCCTCTGACATACACGCATTGCAATCCATCAAAGAAAGAGACGGAAGGAGTACCTGGTCAGTAATGCTAAGCAAACAACTAAAAATAACTTCCATCTTCTCCTTATTTTCTTGTTTCCCATCAGACTGAAATTCCTTCATAAATGACTTGCCTATACGCACAACCTTTGCAAATAAGATGGGATCATGAGAAAGGTAAGGACCAAGATAACAAAACATACTGAATACATCTTTCCTTAAGTCTTCAAAGCTCTCCACTGGCTTTGGCGACTTCTTGTTTTGTAAAGCATTGACAGGTGAGCCTTTAGCACCTTTCGGGACGCCAACTCTTCGGTAAAGAGGCTCAATAGTTATATGTATAAGACTGCAAATAGCAAGGGCTATTACTTTATGTGATGCTGCATAGTACGGAGGCATACGATCCATAATACTCTGTGCATGCTGCCAATCACCAATAACTAACAAGGCTTCCAGCAAACCAAGTTTTTGATTGTCAGGTACCTTCTCTACTTTGTCATCTTTTTTCTTTTCTTTTTCTCGTTCATCACTTTTGTCAGAAGGCAATACAACCATTGTAAGTTTCCTAACAATGTGCTTAGCTTCCACAATTTCTCGTTTGTATTCATTCACAATACAAGAATCAGCTGGAAGAAGGTGTACATAAAGACCATCCAAATCAATAAGATTAAACTGTAGAAGTACTGCTGCAACTGTGTACAAGGACGATGGAGTCTCACCATTTGGTTCCTGGTAAAACTTGAATTTGAACCCAAGAATATGACACAGTGTTTGTGGTTCACACATACCCATGTAAGCTTCTAATAAAGATATAAAGAAATCATGGTGTTCTGGCCTGCACTCAAACACTTCTAAGATGATATCCAAAACTCGATTGGGATCCAGATTGAAGCATCCTATTAAAGATTTGAGAATTTCTAAGATTAAATCACTAGTAATATTTCCAGATAAATCCTGCCCTAATTCAACAATCAGCTTGGCATAACCTTCATTTTCTTCTCTTAACAAATTGAACTTCTGCTGTTTATAAAAGAGTTTCGTCTTGATTTTGACTGACTTTTGATTGAACTGCTGTGATTGTTTGATAAGGCCTAATGACTCCAATGTTTCCGGATCCAAGCGTTCCTTTAGAACTGTGTCTGAAACTAAATATAAACATGCTAACACCAATTGTGTAAAATGATCTCTCTTGCTTTTTTCTTCTAAACAGTTCGTCTCAATATCCAGCATGCAGAATATATCGGCAAGAATAAGTGGAATGTCTTCTCGAAATTCACTGATGTCACTAAGAACATTTGATGCCTGTTCAGGCTTTAAAGTTCCTCTAATGACATAGTATGACAACTCATAGAGAGCTTGCTGGAAATCTCTACAAGCCAAAGTGTCGCGGCTTTTACTTTCACTGAGAATCCTGCATAAACGCAAAAATTCGCCTCTCCCAGATTTCTCCCAGTTCTTGATCCACTCAGTGGGAACCACCACAGCGGCTGAGGCCATTGCCATCTTTTCTTCCTAGTAACAGAGTCCCGGATGTGCAGCATGCACTTGCGCACTAGCACCTGCGCTTGCTGGAGGTCAAAGGTTCGCCCCACCCACAGCGAATGCTGGGAGCTAAGCGTTCTGGAGAACAGGATTTTAGGGTTGAGTTTTTTCTGCTTCAGGAACCGGCATGCTAATTACGCACTGCCAAAGTCTGTTGTCTGGGTGTCTTTGTGCCTGATGGCACTCACACTGCAGGTCACTGCAACAAAGAAAAGAGCAAAATAAGATTGCACAGGTGCGGCTCACACGTTCCCTAAGCCACATGCCTCCATCCAGGAGCTGTTGTTAGTGAAGGGCCAAGTACCCACCCAGGTCTTCTCTCAGCCTAACTTTATTTCCCCATCCTTTTTCTAGATATCACGATCTTGTTGACTTATTCATATTGGCTTGTGTGAAACAGTGACTCCAACAGACTACTCAGCAGGCCCTGCAGCTCCCTTCAGAATCCCACATAAGTCTTGGCATCTCCTCATGCTGAGCCCAGCTGTGCTTGACCTGCTTTCTTTCCCTACAGATACTAGAGGACCCATTCCGTTCCCCCAGGGTAGATTCTCCAATCCACTTGGTTCTGCTCTTTGATGAATACCACTTGGGATCCTTTGATTTCTGTGGGTGAGGGGAGGATGAAATTGAATTTTCCCCTTCTACAGTTCATTTCACCATGTTTTTAGTGTTGGCCATTCTCTGCAACTACACCATGCCATTCTTCTCTGGTACCGCCTAACCCGGAGGTGGTAACTTCCCCAGTGCCTCACCTTCCCTGCTGATTCCCGTTAACTCAACCACAACTCTACATACAGCATCTCCCTTCAACTTGCTCTAATTACCACTCTGGTTCATCATCTTTTTCCTTTTGGAGGCTGACAAATACTATCTGCCTCCCATCTGCTAATCAATCCTGGGTGGAAACCGCTAACCTAACCCTCAATCATTCTCAGTTCACACTGAGTGAGCAAAGGAGGAGGCAGGAAAATAATATGAAGACACAGGTTTGGCATATGGTCACATACTTACTCTTGTATGAACCTATGTGAGCTTCAGTTTGCTCTCACATAAGAGAACAATTATCTACTCCATAGGATTTTGGTACTGGAATAAAAAGAATTAGAATTGATCCAGTACAGTCACTGTTCCCACTTGTGAGATAGGACCATACACAAAGATAACTAGAACTAACCTGTCCCTCCACAAGAGCTCATAGTAGCCCCAGGTATCTGCCCACCCATCTCCCAAAGAAAAATGGGCAATGGCACTGTGTCCTTTGCAGAAGCCCTTTGTAGATGAAGAACAGCAGTTCTCAACCTGTGGATCACATAGCAGATAACCGTAAGTGTACCATATATTTATATTATGATTCATAACAGCAACAAAATTACAGTTATGAAATAGTAATGAAATAATTTTATGGTTGGGGGTCACCACAACATGAGGAATTGTAATAAAGAGTCACAGCATTAGGAAGGTTGAAAAACACTGCTCTAGAGTCAATATAAAGGGGAAGAGGGCTTGAAGGAGTAAGACCCCATGAATTCTCAATGACATCTAATTGACTAAGATTACTTTCAATTAATGTGAAATTATGATAGATGAACTATTACAAGTCAAACTAGGGTTTCCTGTGAGTTTATTGCTAAAAATGTTTTTTTAAAAAAATAAAGCTTTCTTAAAACTTATAAATTTGGTAGATAAGTACACATACACAAATATATGCATTTTAGGCAGTGATTTTAAAATGTTTTATTTTCTTATGCTTTAGACTGGCATCTGTTGCTGAAATTCTGAGGGTCTATAGGGACTTTCACAGCTGTCAGAGAGATGGACAGATGTGCCTGTTTTACAACACTCTCTGTTGCACAGCCAGAGAAGCCTCTAGCTCTGAAGGACAATTATTTAATAGACCCAGGATCAACCTAAGTGGCCTTAGACCCTGTCCTGAGCCAGGTTCAGGGAAATCACAACAATCTGTAACTGACAGTTCTACACAAATCAGGAACAAACAACTAGACCACCAGTCTAGAGTAGACAGCGGCTCTATAATCACTGGATTTGCATCAAACAATTTACATTCCAGCTGTGTTCCATCTTGAACATCTTATTTGCCTCTGGGCTCCTAATACAATGTGCTAGTATCCTAGGATCCTGAACAGCTGTTACAACTCCTGGAGTTGACTTTTGCTATCTAGAGAATGAGAACAATATCAAGAGCTTTTGTGAAGCCTAAACACAGAAATGTATGTGAATTTATTTGCATAGTGTCAAATGCAATGGAAAGCATCAGCTCATTTCTTTCATTCTGGATAGAAAACTCCCACATGCTCTAAATTGAATGCACTTTGTGAGGAACGAATAACTGAGGACCGAAAAGAATAATATTAAAATGACAGGTAACAGACACATGCATCACATAGTGACATTACTTTTTTATTTAACTCTTGTTTTAACACTTGAATCTGTTATTTCATAATGAAAACAAATACAACTCTCCTTTCCACTTCCGTAACGTGTGTCTCACGTTCAGCTGAAGTCTGTCTGTCATAGTGTGGAACACCAGTGCTAAATGTGTGTCCTACCCAGTGACCTCAAACCGTGCCTCGGCTGCTTCAGCCTCCAAGGGTCATTGCATTTGCCCCTTTCTACCTGCAAATTCCAGGACTCAATAGGATGATGAATTGCTTTCCACACTCAATTCTCTTGCTCTATTCTTCAGTCTTAGCAGAATCATATCCTGGAGTTACCCTCTTTACCTTTATGAATGAGAGAGCCATACTAACTGTGGCTTTCATACCACTGTACTTATATAACACAGTCCTAAAAGGCCCAGAAAAGGCTGTTCAGTCCCTCCACTTCCCTCACTAATCTTGAAAACCTTTTTCTTATCCAAAGTAGATCCAGTGGGTAGAGACCTGCAATAAGCCTACAGTAGACAAAGACTGACAAGAGACAAGGTTTATTTTGCACATACACAGATGAAGAAAACTTCTGAGCCGTTGGAGGTGTTTAGGAGTTTGTATGCTGACTTGGTAATTGAAAAGGAATGGGTGTCTCTAAAGAAAACTGCCCATGGAATTCCTGGGTGTAGTTTTGTTGGCAGCTCCCCAAAGGCATCTTACTTTTCGGAAAGGGCTTCTCCAAGTTTTAAAATCATTCAGTTTACGTTGTTATGTTACCCATTTCTAGTAAAATTTCTTCTGTTTCCATTATCTAATTTAGTATTCTATTTTACCAGTATGACCATTTACTTTTTAAAATTGAACACCTCTAAGATATTAAACTTCAATAAGTAGGATTATCATGCAAAGATCTTTTAGTTTCCTTCTGCTGACTCCAGTTTTAAGATAACTTTGTTATTTAAGGTCAACTGGAGCTTGCTATTTTGGGTAGACCTAATTAGAATGTAAATATTGAACTTGAGGACAAGGAAAAAGGGGATTGAGGGGACAAAAGAGGCCATTTAAAAACCATGATGCTAAAAGAACTGCTTTATCTGGAAAAAAAACGATAAAATATTTGAGTCAGCCCTAAACTGAAATACTGAAATATCCATGGCTAAATACATACATATTCAAGTACTCTTGATTCCTTAAATTCTATGAAAGGAAACCAATTGTTTCTATTAATAATGAGCTTTCATAAATTGTTGGTATGAGGAAAATCAGGGTTTTTTTTTTTTTTTCCTTTTTGGTTTTTCAAGATAGGGTTTCTTTGTATAGTCCTAGGTGTCCAGGAACTAGCTCTTATAGACCAGACTGACCTTTAACTCAGAGATCCTCTCACCTCTGCCTCCTGAGTGTTGGTATTAAAGGAGTGCACTACCACTGTTCAGATGGAAAAATCAGTTTTAAATAGCTCTTTTCCACAGGCCCTTACTAAAAGTTAACAGTTAAAAATTCTAACTAACATCCAATTTAATGGCAAAGACTATAAAAAGAAAGTAGCTGCATTTCAATGAGAAATCTAGCAAAAGATGTAAAGTGAATTATTTGGGTGATAAAAAATATAATTGTGTCTAAATTCACCAAATATTGTAAGCATTGCTTTAAAATGTAAATCTAAAGACAGAACTGTTTGTTGGAACCTCCAGCTTATGCTTGCATGTTCTGAGAAGCCCCATTCCTGTCTTTCCATGCTCTGTCCAGAGATTTTCCAAACAAAAGGAAGGCACCAAAAAGCCCAGTTCAACATACTTGACAGCTAAGGCAACTTTCTTACCTGAAGTTGCCAGCCAAGTCCCCTTCTAAAGCATTCAGCTTTTGACCATACTTGAGCATAAACACAGCTTATGGTAGACACATCATCACCCCTCGCCTACAACTTATATAATCTCCCTGCTTTAGTTTGGGGCTTGCAGCTTCTCAGGCCTAGATCTGAGGCTGGAAAACCTGCCCAAGAGTTGCAGAGAAACCTATGGGGCTGGGGGGAAAGATACGGGACCTATTAAGAGAAAAATAAACACATAAAAAGAGAATCTACTTTCTGATAAATATGAAAAGCAAGTGAAACATAACACAGAAGGATTACAAAGAATGAACGTTTAAAAGTTTGTTTATCTATCTCATACATGAATGCTTTGTCTGCAGTCTACACCCAGAAGAGGGAAGATCCCAATATAGGTGACTGTGAGCCACCATGTATGTGGTTGTGGAAAACTGAACTCAGGACCTCCAGAGCCATCTCTTCAGTCCCCACAAAATGTTTTGTAGAAGTAAACATATGTATAATTCACTTGGGTATAGTTAGAAATATACTTTACGTTACTCTGAAGACATAAAATTTTGGTGAACTAATGTTCAACCAGAATTTGATTCTCTATGCTTAAATTCTTAAAACGGATCTGCTCATAATACAATTTGCAAGAAACAACATAGGAAACAATCATTTTATGTTGTGTTTTCTGTTGACTTAAGGTTTTAATTGGTTAGAGAAAACTACTTTAAAAGAGTTAAGGTGTTTAAACATTTATTTTGAAAGTCTTTTAAGTAACTACAGCTCTGGTTAAATCTGGTTTAAAACACTGGTTAAGTAAATGGTTGTATAGTATGTTAATATAAACACAGAAAAATTACATAATATTTCTTTTAAAATATTATTACTTTATTTCATGGGTTTTGCCTTAACCTATCTATGTCGGGGTAACATATGTGTGCCTGGTGCCCAAGAAGGCCAGAATAGGGTGTTAGATCCTGAAAAATCAGAGCTTCAGGTGGGTAGGATCCTGTCACATAGTGCTGGGAAGAGAATCCCTGGTTCTCTGCAAGATCAATAAGTGCCCTTAACTGTTGAGTCACCTCTCGAGCCCCAAGGTTATATAAAATTATAAAAGTCTCCCCAGTGATGGTAAATATTGACAGCCAAAGTTGTTATCTTAAAATTCTATATACAATGAAAATACTAAACTGTATTAACTGCTGACACTCATTATAATTCTAAACATGGCTATTCTAAGTCTTTACATCTAGCTTTGTTTCTTCTCTAAAATACCAACAATGAGATTCATACAATGTTAACAACTATGTTTAAATGAAGTTTTATAATAAAACTTATTTTACAAATTAATTTTCTTGCATTGTTTTTGTGTAAGTTAGTATTACTGTAAATTTAATTGTTTTGTGGTTCAAATTGAGTATACAAACTAAATTTGTTAGGTACTTGCTGGTTCATTTTGTATTTTTCCTCCGGTCAGGAGTACAACACCTAATAAAGTAATGTGGACCCAGTCTGAGATAATATCCATCCCTTACAGCAGTGGTTCTCAACCTTCCTACTGCTGGGATCCTCATGTTGTGGTGACCCCAACCATACCATTTTTTTCGTTGCTACTTCATGACTGTAATATTGCTAATGTTATGAATCATAATGTAAATATCTGTGTTTTCTGATGGTCTTAGGTGACCCCTGTGAAAGGGTTGTTTAACCCCAAAGGGGTTGCAACCCAAAGGCTGAGACCCACTACCCTAGAGACAAATAAAATTGAATGCAACAATAGACTCTAGGTAAATCTCATTTGAGAACAGTTGTTTCTGTGCCACTTTGGTCTGTACAAAAATGAAAAAGGGAAATAATACTTGTACTGAGCTGAAAAATCCCAAATTTGAGACAATACCTACCAAAAGGTCGTTAACTGGTAAGATATTCAAGCTCTACTGCTAACCTTTCTTAGACATAACTCTACCCATGTTCTTAGTCTAAACAACAGCCCAATCTTACCATTGCAAAAGCAAGCACAGGAGAATCACTTCATTAAAAATGATTCGGGCAGGACTGGAGACTGCACAGCAATTAACAACACGTGTTGCTCTTGTAGAGTCTGATTCCTACCACCCACATAGACACATAGAGACTCACAGCCACC